GAGGAGGAGGAGGAGGAGGAGGAGGTGAAGTTGGAGGAGGAGGAGGTGGAGGACGAGGAGGAGGAGGAGGAGTTGGGAGGAGGAAGATGGTGAGGGGGAAGGCCGTCACACTTGGCACGGGGCGTGGTGGGCGCCTCTTGATCCTCTTGGGTGCCTCACAGGGCCACTTGGGAGTGTCGTGGGGGCGCCGTGGAGGCTCTTTGGGGCTCCTTCGACCGTCTGCGGGCGCTCTTGGGGAGCTTGGCGCTTTCGGGATGAGTCGTGGGGGGTCTTTTATGCGGTCTGCGGGCCCTCTTGGGTTTACGGAGAGCCATCTTGGGTTGGGCCCCCTTGGACTGTCTTGGGACCGTCTTGGCGACCTCTTTGGCAGTCCTGAGGCCGACGCTCTCTTGAGTCCGTCTTGGGGCCATCTTGTCGGCTTCTTGGCTTGCCTTTAGCTCCCAGGAGCCCGAACAGGTGACCATGCGAACATCAATCACTCGATGCGGATATCCCTATATGTGCATATCATTTTCTGGCACTTCCCGCCGTGAGTGACCGAGTGTGAGTAAGTCTTAGCCTGCTCCATCGCTGTGATTATGGGGCTGTGACTGGCGGCTCTCCCCTTAGGGGGTGCCAAACAAGCGCCTCGCTCGATTGTATCTCATAAGCAACCTGCTGTTCGAGAGCACATGGTCGGAGCCGCTCTCAATACATCCACGCAATATGGGCGCGCACTGGCGAATATCCTACCCCTGGCGCCCCCCTCCCTTGGGGCGCCCACGTGCTTTGCCTGCCACATGGCGGTAAACGATGGGTGTGGGTGAGTTTCAGTGTGAGTAAGTCTGAATGTATGAGCCTGGGCGTGATTGAGTCGGAGTGTGGGTGAACTCAGTGCGCGTGAATCTGAGTGTGAGCGAGCTGAGTATGAGCACGAGTGTATGTGAGTGTCAGTGGTGAGGTCTGACGGTGAATGAGCCTGGGTGTGAGTGAGTCTGGGTATAGGAGTCTGAGTGCGAGTGAGTCCCGAGTACGAGTGCCATGGGTGTAGTGTACTTTGTGGGTCTGAGCATGCGTGGACAGTGTAATGTACTGGGTGAGCTGAGTGTGAGCGAATCGAGTCGGTCTGAGTATGCGTCCCATTCGGTGCGCGCCGAAGCACTGGTGGGTCACCCTTGGGTTGCCCGAATTCTTGATGGCTCGCGTCTCCCTACCAGCCCAGTCAGAAATGCTGCCCGATGAGAGCTGATCTGCTTGATGCCCTCTTGGGGGCCTCTCGGGGCTCTCTCGGGGCTCTCTCGGGGCCCCTTTGGGCTCGTTTGGAGTGTTCTGGGGCCCTGTTGGACCCCTTTTTGGGGCCTCTCGGAAGCTTTCGCAGGCATCCTGTGGCCATCTTGGAGGCCACCAGGTGGGTCCTCCATCTAGGTCCCCAGCAATAGTCCTCAACACTGTCTTTCGAGGCCCTCTTGGGGCGTTCTTCGGGCGCAATTAATCTTGAGGTCTCAGAAGCCCATCGGACGCGAAAAGGCGAGAAGACAGCATTCATTGATTTTCCTCAGGTTCCCCGAACAGTGCTTGCACTTAGGGGTGCTGGCTTCTGGTCTAAGGAATTGGGCCTGTGTGTCCGTCTGGCGGCTCCGTGCCGGCCGTCGCCGGCCCGTCGCTTCCTCGTCGCCGCCCGTCGTCAGGGCTTGTGTGTGGGTCTGGCGGCTCCGTGCTTGCCGTCGCCGCCGCGTCGCCGCCTTGTCGCCACCGTTGGATTGCACCACGTATATAGCACGAAACAAATTGCGCCTGCGGCGCGCTTTTTGATCGCTCGCAACACAGCTTGCACCAAGTATATAGCACAACATGGGTTGCACCACATAGATAGTACAGCACCTCTTGCCCAACCACAAACATACATACATGCATACATACATGCATGCACACATGCATACATGTATGTATACACGCATACATACATACATACATACATACATACATACATACATACATACATACATACATACATACATACATACATACATACACACATACATACGTACGTACGTACGTACGTACATACATACATACATACATACATACATACATACATACATACATACACATACACACATACATACATGCTTACATACATGCACATGTGCATGCATGTATGCACACATACCTACATACATGCATACGTGCATGCATACATGCATACATACAAACGTGTATACACACGTATACACATACGCACGTATTTACACATACATGCATACATACACACATTCGCATACATACATACACACATCCATACATCCATCCATCCATGCATACACATACATACATACACACTTAGATACATACGTGCGTGCATGCATGCATACATACATACATGCATATACACATACATACGTACATACGCACATACATACATACAGGCACGTATGCATACATACATACATACATACATACATACATACATACATACACATTTATACATACACACATACATACACACACACATACATACATACATACATACATACATACATGCATACAACCATACATACACATACACGCATCCACACACATACATACACACACGCACGTACACACAGACATACATGTGTCCATACAGCTGTGCATGCATACGTCTGTTCGCGTGTATCATGTATAGTTATATGGCCGTATACAATCCTGTATGGTCATACCTTGTCCCCGTGAAGCATGACACGCACACCGTCTTCCGTTCCAGAGCTGGTGCGGCTCGACAGCAGGGGTTTCTTGGCCGCGAACCAGAGGGGCCCTCCCCCCTCGCCGCCCCTCGGGTTGCCCCGCCGCCCGAGGTGCGCGGGAGGGCCGCCGCGCGGCACCGCCGCGCGCTTGGCGGGACAGGAACCCACGGCGGCTGCTCGGCAGGTTGCCCACTGCCGAGGCTACCGTTGCCGCGGGACGCGAGGGCGGGCGGACGGCCTCTGAAACGAGGGGGAGGCCCGCCACGAGGAGGAGTACGCACCGTCGCCGACCAAGGAGACGCCCGTCACGGTCGAGCCCCAACATATCGTGTCACGGGAGGTATCGGAGCGTCGGCCTCGTCGTGAGCAGCGGCGGGCGGTGCACCCTCCTGTGGCTGGCGGTGCGCGTGGCGCAGAGGCCAGGGCCGATCGGGGGGGGGGGCGTCTCCTGTTCAGCAGCATCGACGCCCACTGGGACTGGTGGCGCGATCGGGGAGCCGTTCCTCCTGCACACCTGCTGGGGCTTGCCCCTCGGTGCCCAGCCTTCGCGCTGGTGCGAGGAGTCGGTGTGCGCAACGGCGGCCGCCCTCTTGGATCGGGAGGAGATCGACGTGGCCTTCGGCAGGGGTCTGGCGCCGAAGGCGGAGGCGGTCTGGTCCGAGCACCTCCTCAGCCCGCGGGCGCGCGGCGGCGGGCGGTCTCATGCGCCCTGCCGCGCGAGTCGCCCGAGGACCTCGGTGGCGCCTGCGGGACATTTCGATGAGCTCATGGGCTCGGACGCCCTGCTCGTTGCGTGAAAGCTCCCGTCGGCCCAGCGCGCGCGCCAGGAGATCCTGCGGCGCGAGCTGGTGGAGGCGATTGGGCGATTCGCCGAGACGGCGGAGCCCGCGGAACACGATGCGGATATTGCAGATGCAGGGCGTCCTGCCGCGGGTGCCGAGCCGCCGAGCCTCGCAGGCGCCCTGTCCATGAGGGCGTTGGGGGCGGCGAAGGTGGCTGCGCCCGCGGGGCCCCTGGAGGGCGCCCCGCCCGCGCGTGGCGCCGAGGGCGGTGCGGGCGGCAGCGGCGCGCAGGAGCTGGCGTCGGCGCTGTTTGCAGTGCCGAGGTCCTCGGTCTCGCTGGCGGCGGGCAGCGCAGAGGGCTCCGCAGGCGGGGATCTGTTCCCATGCGCGGGCGGCTGGGGGCTGCCGCGCGGGCTGGCGACGGGTGGGCCCGCTGCAGGAAGCTGGCGAAG